CAAACTACAAACTACAAACTACAAACTACAAACTACAAACTACAAACTACAAACTACAAACTACAAACTGCAAACTACAAACTACAAACTACAAGCTACAAGCTACAAACTACAAACTACAAACTACAAACTACAAACTACAAACTACAAACTACAAACTACAAACTACAAACTACAAACTACAAACTACAAACTACAAACTACAAACTACAAACTACAAACTACAAACTACAAACTACAAACTACAAACTACAAACTACAAACTACAAACTACAAACTACAAACTACAAACTACAAACTACAAACTACAAACTACAGAATACAAACTACAAACTACAAACTACAAACTACAAACTACAAACTACAAACTACAAACTACAAACTACAAACTATAAGCTACAAACTACAAACTACAAACTACATACCACAAACTACAAACTACAAACTACAAACTACAAACTACAAACTACAAACTAGAAACTACAAACTACAAACTACAAGATACAAACTACAAGCTACAAGCTACAAACTACAACTACAAACTACAAACTACAACTACAAACTACAAACTACAAACTACAAACTACAAACTACAAACTACAAACTACAAACTACAAACTACAAACTACAAACTACAAACTGCAAACTGCAAACTACAAACTACAAACTACAAACTACAAACTACAAACTATAAGCTACAAACTACAAACTACATACCACAAACTGCGAAATACAAACTACGAACTATAAACTACATTCTGCATCGCAATCTCGCCTTCATGCGCCTTTTGTATGAGCGTCGATGTCAACGCTTCAGGAATCCACAGTTTCCAGGGGAACTCTTTGCTATATTCTCTGTTGAGATGGGTTCTTTTAAAAAGCAGTCTCTCTTCGATCCGTAAGACTGGAAACTTGTCCGTCTGCTCCTCGGCAACCTTCGGCATTTCTAAATACTCGTCGATCTCAAACTCGGTGGTCTCAAAATCAAATACATCCACTTCCTCTATTACAAATGGCCTAGACAACATATCTGCAATGAAATAACGCAAATATTTGAAGCAGAATTTGATTTTTTTAAGGCAATGATCAAATTCGCTTTTTCAGGAAGTCGCTTACTTCATTCAGCAGTTCGCAGTGCTCGTCGAACGACCTCGAGATGAAGTCATCCAAGTAGGTGAATACACGATGGCGCAAGCGTTGAGGAATCACATTGTTCATCAATCGGCACAATCTCTGAGCTGTGTTCCATAGCCCAAATAGCATCATTCAGAACTGATAAAGAAGCCTGCCGGGTATGGTGAATGCTGTTAATTCGCAGCTCTTGCACTCCAGCTCAAATTCACACTGCTTATGAACACGGTGTCGTCAACTCTACTTAATATGGACCCGATGCTCTGCAACGGGTAAGCGTCTTTAATGTTTAGCTTATTCAAATAGCGCGCATCCAGACAGAGTCTATTCTTCCCAGTTTTTCTGACGAGCGTCATTCGATATTTCCACGGACTCTCGCTCGCCCAGTCTGAGCATTTTGTCCACTTCAGCTGCCGCACTGCTAGAGATACAGGATAAAAGCGGTACTTGACTGGCACTGCGTCGTCTACTAGTTGAATGGTATGTGGTTCTATGTTGGTATTTACCAATCCTCGGCATTCGTAATCCTAGAAACCTTCTCTTGCCTCTTGCAGCAGATGTTGCTCCTCATTCAGTTCATGGGCTACTATCGGTTCGCCCTTGGTCGTGAACTCCAAAACGACATACCCGAGCTCCTCGATTCCTGAAATTTCCGGCGCCAATCCGAATTTCCGCCAAAAGTCCACTGCGAGATACAGTAACTGCTTGAGAGATGGGCATAGATACAGCGCTAATAGCTGAGTCTGGAAATTGTACGATATTTTGGTATAGACACGACCCAGAATGCAATGTTGCGTGCCTCCAGCTGATTGGACTGTCGATCGTACCCGGTGAATTTTTAATTCCAGTTCTTTTATCAATTGCAGACAACCTACTCCCAGAAAACTGACAGATGCACCCGTATCTAGCAACCCAGCGTTCTCTCGCTGTACCAGCTTGACCGTAGCGAATGCATAAACGTCGCCTTTGACTGCCGATTGAGTCGCCGCATTCCACTCTACGTTCCTGGTGCTGTTTATACCGAGAGCGCGCTCGTTTTACCCTGGGTGTACTCTATGCGGTCAATTCGGCTATGCAGTCGAAAATACGCGCTCGAGCATTTTCATATTCTTCAAGTGGCTTCCGTTCTGCCCATCTAACGTAAAAGATTATACAAAGCCTCCACTTGCCCCTCATGTGTCGCTTCGCCTCCTGGTTCTTTCTCCGACGCATATACCTCTTGAACTTGTGGTCTGCTTCGGATTTGCCGTGGCTAATCATATGCCGTATTGACTGGCTTTGAATGAGTTTTCAGCAGGCACTCTGCATTATGGCATTCTTCGCGCAACCCCTCCAGGTTGGTGATGTGAATGAGGTATATAACTCTGGAAACAGCCTCCCTTATGTTCATTTTTTTAACCTTTATTAGGTCATGATCAGAAAACGGAGTTGCCAATCGAGAGCGCAGGCCTAGCATCGCCTTCATGTACTCATCGATTGTCTCGCCTCGCGCAATTCATGCTCCAGCTCAAAATTTGAAGGCCTTGTCTTGAACTGTTGCTGTAATGCGTATCTCATATTTGGCCAATCGGGAATCCCGGATGTACGAAGGTGCATCCAGTACCACTCCTTCGCTTGACCCTCCCCTAGGACGTGGAAATCGCGCAACACTTCTCTCCACGGAACCTTGAAAGTCAGTTGCATATGTTCCAGCCGAAAGATGAATTCCGATGCCGACATACTTCTGGTTCCGCCATCGAACACCAAACCCCATCTCCGAATATGCACCACTTTAGTCTTCGGCTGATGGGCAGAAGTCCTGTCCTCGGCGTATTGGCACTCGTGAGAAATGGCATCTGTCCAGCTCACTGGATTTGCTTGGCCCCTCTGAGCGGCTTCCAGCAATAGATGGTCGATCGCCCTCACCGGATGTGCAGACGGTCGATTATCGTTGCTGCTATATTGTCTCTTGGGCCTGGAACAGTTCCAAATTTACGGCCGATAATATTTCGCTGGGGATTGTGGCCACTCTCTGTTGCTCTTGAGCTGCTGCTGACGTTGACAGTCCCTCGCTGTCTCCCATGACACAACCTCTGTTGGCATCCCGCGGTTCTCCGGTTTCCCGTTTCATGGTCTCCGAGTGTGAGCTGCTATTCAGTTGGGATAAATATAGGGTTTGGATTCTTTGAGATTGGGAGCACGTTATCGGAATCATAAATTTCGACACTCCTATATATTCTATTCCGATCGTAAACCTTCCGTACAATGCATTTTTTTCCTTCTCCCCCTTCGGCATCTGCAAATTCAATATACCTTACTAACATTAAGAGAATGGGTAAGATAAGTGTCTTATGGTTGACCTTCCAGCCGTGGCAGCAACAGGTGAGGCTTTAGATTCCTCCCCGCTGTCCAAACAGCTAACTGTCAACGGACAGACATAAAAAAAATACACGACTATTGTAATTTTGGGTACTTGACTTTACATGCAATCCCCATTTGCCATTGGGCGTCAATTGTTTTGATCCGACTTATCGTTTACACTCCTCTTATCGATTTGCCGGCTAGACATAGTTCAACCAGGGGAGAGTAAGACCTCGATAAATAGGAGCCCTCCCCACCATGAGTTGTCAATAAATGCACCTGCAAACTCCCAAATACTGACTGGCACCTGCCTTACACCCTTAGAAAAACATTTAATAAATTAACACTTAACATATTTCATAAATTGCATAATACTTTTTCTTTGTAGGGCAGATGCGTTAACTGCATGACGACACTTACACCAAGGACGAATATATTAATTTAAGTTTATCATAAAAGAAAATTATGATCAGTGAATTATTGCATATCGTTGCCGCCTGAGAGTAGCCGCTACCTATAAATAATAGTGCTCTCTTATAATTAATAATAAATAATATAAATTATTATAATAAAAATAATTAAAATTATATAAAGTAATGCTCAATTTATTTTAATTATTCGACTGCTATTTTTTTTAATTTTTTGGATCAATTTTGATTATTTAAAGCTATAAAACAAAAACCTGAGGCCACCCAGAGATGGTGGCCAATCCGCTCCTCTGGTGACCTAATCCTTGCCTGCGGCACCTCCCGTATTGTTGGACTTTACCTTTAGCGACACTAATATATTTATTTGAACATATTTATATTTATTTTGCATTCTTTAGTTCATTTAAATTAAATGTATATATATTTTTTTTTAAATTACCGGAAATTCGCCTTTTCTATGATTTAAGATGTTTTTTTTTTTATGGATTCGGCCTGCACTTAACTCTGGATCTTTTCTTTTCTTACTTTTTTCTTCTTCCCAACAACAAAAACCGCTCTCCCTTTCAAAAATCCAGAGTCACGCTAAGGGATTGGTGGCTACGATAGTTGCGCACACCTCGAATCTATCGATAACTTTCCTCCAGCTGGCAATCCATAAACAGCATATTGTTTGGTGTGGTATTAATTTTTTTTTTTTTATAGTATTGCTGCTCGTTTTATCGTCTGTACTTTCCATACCAAAGATTTGCGTATATGTTAATGTATCTAACTTACATTTATTTAAAATGGCACTTGACTTAAAGAAATTGAAGAAGCAAAATATATTTCAAATGCATATTTTGCAGTAATTTCATTTTGTTTTTAATATATCATATGTAAATTATTATAGCTATTTGTGGAAATCATTAGAATTATAAATTTGATATTCTCTTGCTGAAATAGAAGTATATTCAGCAATAATAATTGTTCATGTATAAAGGTGAGTAGTTTTCTGATCGCTATCTTGACTCTTTCCAGGAGTTGTTGAAACAGCCCAACATATATCTCAAGCATCAATTTTTATCGTTTAATAATTTTGCATTTATCGAAAGGTGTAAATTAGCACAACAGGAAATTTTGGCGCCATTTTTTGTGTAATAAGCAAGTCGATTTGGATTTCTAAAACGGTGTATACTTAAAATGATGAAATCAAAGTCCCTAAAGCCCGAAAAATTATATGTTATTAAAAGAGGTGAATAAATTGCACATTTATTTGTGCATGGGTAATAACATACATTCTATTATTTAGATGGAAGGAAGGAAGAAATTCATTTTGATAAAATTACATCTAGAGTACAGAAGCTATGTTATAATCTAAATATGGACTTTGTTGATCCTGTAAGTATTTAAGTTTCACATGATATAACTATGGAACTACAAACATAAATTTCAAATTAATTTACTTAAGAAATTGGTAAAGGGAGAAACCTGGGCTCCCATAATATTAAAAAAAATATGTCTTTGATGCAAAGATAAGTCAAATCTATCTATTACACATAGTGCTATTCTTTTGAGTTATTCCGTTTATACCCTTGTAGAAGGTATTATAAATTTGTCATTAATATGCATCGCATAGAAGAATATACATCCGACCCCATAAACTGTATACAGTTTGTCAAGTAATTGTTTGCAAAATGAAAAACAGCACACAAATTCATTTTTATACCCTGAACCCATTGAAAATGGGTAAAAAGGGTATATTCTATGTGTGCAAAAGCAAATGTATGTAACAGGCAGAAGGAAGCATCTCCGTCCCCATAAAGTATATATATTCTTGATCAGCATCAATAGCCGAGTCGATCTAGGCATGTCCGTCTGTCTGTCCGTCCGTCGGTATGTATGAACGCAAGGATCTCAGAACCTCTAAGAGCTAGAGACTTGAAATTTTAGAGAATACACTGTCAATTAATTCTTTGCATAATGCAAACTATTACTATATACATAACTAAATATATTGTATATTGGCCATTAGCATCCATTACAGCCCGCAGACGACAAAACATTGATTGCATATCATACATTTCGTTTATTTTTATCTATTTTTCTTGAATGGCCATGACGAGAGCGTTTTTATTAGTTGGGCTCCATTTTCCCACGCGCTTCTTTATGAAAGAACACAAATTTTCAATTGGGCTTAAGTCAGGACTCAGGGCAGGGGTGTGTCAATGACATTGCTGCAATTATACAGTAGCCAATTCCTGCACAAAAACGATTTGTGTTTGGGGTCGTTGTCCTCATAAAGCTCTGTTTACTGGGGTTTTGGGGGTCTATACAGCCAAACTTTATTGCGCTCCTTGACAATTCATTCTTTAGAATGTCCAAGTAAACCTCTTTCGTCATCAATACGCAGCTTACCAATACCTTTCGACGATTGGTATAATTCCAATCGTTTTCTTTTTCTTTATCAGCCGAGTTGGTATAGCCATGCCTGTTTATCTGTTTATATTTATATGTAAAGTTTTAAAAATATCGTCTTGAAACATTCCAAGGGCCCGTCTTTCTCTAGAAGGCTGTATCTATATCATATAGCTGTCATATGAATGGTCTGTCAGAAGTATGTTCTCGACAGCATAACTAATTTTTTAATAAAGATATCTTTATCAAACTTAGCTTTTAAAAGCTTAACTATCGTCACATATTTGCAAAATGTACGGAAAATGTCTTCAAGGGTATAAAACGGTATAAATATTGTTAATTAATATCTGCAGTGCCGCAAAGGTCGTTCGGTGTTACTTGCGCGTTACCGTATATTTTTTGTATATAAAGGGAAACGAGCTTTATTTGTTACTCCAGTTTGGCGATGGGTTAAGGGTTTCCTAGTCGGTTATTCGCGACTAGAGCATTTTACCTTTATCTATATTCCATATTGAATAAGTTCATGTTTAAGAATATTAAATCTTTTTAATTAGGTTTCAATTACTCTTAAAGTCATAAACGGGCTGTACTGTGGTGTGACAACACAGGAGCTGGATAATTTAGCAGCGGAGATAGCAGCCAGCTTAACAACCCATCATGCAGACTATGCACTACTAGCTGCCAGAATTGCAGTTTCCAATCTTCACAAGGAAACAAGGAAAGTTTTTTCAGGTAATTGTATATACAAACTAGATTTCTGTCATATCGTTCTTAAGAATATTTGTACACACGCGCACAAAATTATTTTTTCTGCCTTGCTTAAAGAATCTTTGAATATCTAATGCTCACGTACAAAGTTCGATAAGACTGTGATCTAGGGGCTTAAATCGTTAACTCGATAAAATTTAAAAAAGTTAATTTAAATATAAGCAAAATGTTTTAGACTTTTACACATTTTAAAATATTACGGTTACAAATAGTAATACCATACGGACTACCTAACAGATTGGTGAATGATCAGAACTTTAAAGTTTTAAAAAATTTACTAAAGTTTACATAGAGAGGGGTTTTAAAAAGGGGACGCACTTATGTACATACATATGTGAAATTTCCAAACGTGACGACTGGAGGTTGAATTACTTAGATGTATAAGCGTCGGGCTCTCAAACTAAAAGTAATGGATGAAATCCCGTCAGAATCCTTTTTACTTATTTTTATTAATATAAATATAGTTATGACTACCGTCTGAGCCATCCAAATTGATCTTTCTTTTTACCAAAAAAATTACTTTCTGGAATTCATGGGTACAAAATTTATAGTTTTCACCAAATGCCAAACGGGCACATACATATGTGACGTTTCATTAGCTTGGGTACAGGCCCTCAAGAAGCATATAAAACTTTTTTTTTTCTACTAAAACTTCGATGTATTTTAAGATTTAAATGACGTCTGATGTCTAAGCGTCGGGCTCTCAAACTAAAAGTAATGGATGAAATCCCGTCAGAATCCTTTTAACTTATTTTTATTAATATAAATATAGTTATGGCTACCGTCTGAGCCATCCAAGTTGATTCTTTCTTTTTACCAAAAAAATTACTTTCTGGAATTCATGGGTACAAAATTTATAGTTTTCACCAAATGCCAAACGGGCACATACATATGTGACGTTTCATTGGCTTGGGTACAGGCTCTCGAGAGATATAAAAAGTTTTTTTTTTTCTACTAAAACTTCGATGTATGTTAAGATTTAAATGACGTCTGATCTCCATACAAGATATGCCTGTTGAATCACAGGTCGTGAGATTTCCCGTTTACACAGCTCATTTATCAGACCGCAGCAGTTCATATTACCGTAACTATCGACATTCTTGAGAAAGTTGGAAATCGTATTTCTATGCTGATTTACTCTTAGAGATTTCTGCAATTGTGGTGTCGGCTTCCAGCAAGCCGCTTATGAAACCCCGCTTCCGATAAATGCATTCCACGTGTCATTTTGATTTAATTGATATTGTCCGTTATTATTTCCCACTCTTTTTAATATAGAATTATAATTCCTCTTGTTAACACGAATTCCACACAAACCTCACATTTGTATATAAATATGTATATTTATTACCTAAGAAGAACAGTAACAAAAACTTTGACATACAGAAAATAATATATATTTTTAATAATATCGTTTAATTTTCTATAGTCAATTGTCATGCAAACATTTTTCTGACTTGATGCGTCTTCGTTTTTTAGAGGAGAACTTTATGGGATCACGATGGTCAAATAATGCCTTCGGTTTTTCAATATTTTATTTGGCTCTTTATTTCTTCTGTTTAATCTATGGGGGAAGATTAACACTTTGAATAGACTAGATTCAGATTTGGCATTTATGCGCTTGTGTGAAAGTTGGTGCCTTTTCTGCCTTTCACTTGCAAATTTGACAGGATTTTAAGTTTTTGTGATTTCTGAATTTCGAAACGAAGGCGACTTGGGACTAGCCGCGTATAAAATGCTTGGCCCCATCATTTACGCTGGTTATCCAGTCTAAAGGTTGTATGGTTAGTGGTATCACCTAGTCAGAGCTCCCGACCTGAGCCTCTTAATTGTTTAAAATGTAAAATGATTTTCGTGTATATTAATATATGTATAATGTATAATGTTTAATTTTTTAAATTTGTATTTGTTTCGTTCTGTCAATACAAAAAATTGTATTTTTCTTTTTGCATTGCCAAAAATATCGATATTTGCGTAATATGCGATCTTTTCAGTTTCTCCCATTGTTTTTTCTACGTTTCCCATTTCTAATTATGGGCAAGATTGTAAGCCTGGTCTAAACTTTCTACTGGAATGTATTTTATTCTCATCGGCTATTGCATAGCATTGTTTAGAACACCTTTTAGCAAACTTTTTGTTGTTTATTAAAAAGGTGTGTGTATTGAAAAAGTGAATGGTTTATGATGCCAGATTGGCATATCTATTTTCCTTATTGCTTATTGCTAATTTGAAAGAATCTTTGAAATCTGTTGATTGTTAACTGTTATACTACTAAACCTGCATTGTACAATCTCTCTGGATAGTGTTGCTATTTAACAAAAGTTAAGTGCGGCTTTGCCGATAATCTTAGTACAATCAGTATGCGAAATGGCGAAAAATAATGGAGAATTTAGTTAGCTTTCATATATTTTAAATATTTTCTCTACTGACTTCCCCCATGAGTCAACTCGCTGGTTGTACCTCCAGAATCTGAGGCATTGCACAATGTCTGATGTTTTTTTGCAGCTCGTCCTCTTCGCATTCCTAGCCACTATTGCGATAAAATTGGCTGGTTATTTTTATTGAGATATTGAAAAAGGGGTTAGTAGGGACAGTTCACTTAAATGTTCTTCTGCATTTATACTAGGTGTGTTTACAGTTAGTTTTTAACGTTCGCTGTTGACAAAACGACAAATGATAATAACTTACAAATATTGTAAGTATCTCTTCATTAGTTTTATTCGTTATATATAATCTAGATCAGCATCAACAGCCGAATTAATATAGCCGTGTATGAGTCTGTTTCTGCCCGAACTAGTCTCCCAGACTTAAAGCTATCATTTATATTGCAGACAGTAAATATGTCGGAACCGGTCGGTTCGGCCCACTATATCAAATAAATGCCATAAAAATGATCGGTTAAAGGTATGGAAAACTTTTTGCTAATCAAGATATCTTGACCCAACTCGGCATTTATTTCTTTCACTAGGCTCCTCACATACATATCAAATCTTATGAACATCGGACTGCTATATCAAATATTTGCCATAGGGGAGAGGATAAGTCAAAAAAAAGTTATTATATAACAATTCATTTCAGTCTTGAAACACAAGACATATTGACCAAACTTGTTATATTTTAGTTTTACTATGCGCTCCCTTCATATATTGAACATCATATCAAAATCGGGCAACTATATTACATAGCTATTATAGGACCGATTGATCAAAAAGTAACTTCTGGTATGGAAACCTTTTTATTTAATAGCTTTACTATTGACACATATCTGCCAAAAGGAAAAATCTACAAAAGTATTAAATCTTTGACTATCCGAATATATCCTTACATTTTCGATGTTCCAAAAGAGTGCAGCATTGGTACGGCTTGAACGAAAACGCTTAACATAGAATGTACTCTCAGCTTCGCATTTATTTATTTATTTATTTTATTTATTTATTTATTTATTAAAGGTCGACAAAACGAGTGTCTTCCTCATTATTCAATAGGTTATACAATAGATAATAGAATTATATGCTAAAAGCCTAGTTAAAGAATACAAATTTCTAAATAGCATCACCGACCGATGGAGGTGTTTTATTTGCCAGTCCGGCCAGCTGTGCCGTTCAACCAATTATGTTTGCATGTATGTATGTCAATATACACACATCAACGCATATTTGGATGTGTTGCTATTCATTGCTGTAGCGTTTACTGCCGTTGTCACTAATTTTTAGTTTTCTTTTGCTGACCAGAATCAACCCAAATTTGTATTCACTTATTTTTTTTTTGTACTGAGGTTGGCTTGGTAGAAAATTGGGGTTTTTTTAATTCGATCCTCATATTCATGTAATTTCTTTTAATTTTTATACCCTGAACCCATTAAAAATGGGTATATGGGTATATTGATTTGTGCAAAATCCAAATGTATATAACAGGCAGAAGGAAGCATCTCCGAGATCCCCATAGAGTATAAATATTCGTGATCAGCATCAATAGCCGAGTCGATCTAACCATATCCGTCTGTCTGCCCGTCCGTCCGTCCGTCCGTATGTATGAGTCAAAGAATCTCAGAACCTATAAGAGCTAGAGACTTGAAATTTTAGATGTAGATTCTCCTAGTTCCCGCGCAGATCGAATTTGTTTCCGATAATCGATAACTTACTCCGTTTCCAAGCAATCGATAAAAATCGATATCGACATCCTGTTTTTTTTTTAGCAAATTGGGTAAATAATATGAGCTAGAGCCACCAAACATGATATGTTGCTTCTAGAATATTATAGGTATATCAAGTATCTTTCATTTCATACCTATCGCCACCTCCCCGCTACCACCCCACTTTTATTGCCAACCAATTTAAACCACAATTTAAATGCAATTGATTTTTTCAGAATACACAAATATTCTATGGTACAATAAGATATACTATAGAAAATTTCATAAAGATCGGTTAAGAAAAACCAAAGTTATATGCAATTGCGCAATTGAATGGGGCAGCAGCTTTAAGAATTTCTGTATACATGTATACACACACATTCATGCGCGTCTGCTTCGCATTCTAATAGCATGGTAATTGCATCTTTTTTTTTGTAATCTTATTTTAGTTCCTTTTTTTTATCATAAGTACTTAATTGTTGGTGTGGCTGCTGAGTAGAGGCATAGCAAGTGGTGTGGCTGTTGAGTAGAGTCGACAGTAAGTAATGCGGTCAGTTGCAAATTCGAGCCCTGCCAAGGGAACTTTTTTTTATTAATTTATTTGGTGTTGGAATAAGAGGGTTCAGGGTTTCCCGTAGTCGGGAGCTCCCGACTAGAACCTCTTACTTGTTTTAATTTCTTTTAATTATGTTTGCATGTATGTATGTCAATATACACACATCAACGCATATTTGGATGTGTTGCTATTCATTGCTGTAGCGTTTACTGCCGTTGACACTAATTTTTAGTTTTCTTCTGCTGACCAAAATCAACTCCAATTTTGTATTCATTTATTTTTTTTTTGTACTGAGGTTGGCTTGGTAGAAAATTGGGGTTTTTTTAATTCGATCCTCATATTCATGTAATTTCCTTTAATTTTTTTAATTTCTTTTAATTATGGTTGCATGTATGTATGTCAATATACACACATCAACGCATATTTGGATGTGTTGCTATTCATTGCTGTAGCGTTTACTGCTGTTGACACTAATTTTTAGTTTTCTTCTGCTGACCAGAATCAACCCCAAATTTGTATTCACTTCATTTTGTTTTGTACGGAGGTTGGCTTGGTAGAAAATTAATGTTTTTTTAATTCGATCCTCATATTCATGTAATTTCTTTTAATTATTTCCCAACTAACAATGAAGGAAAATCAAAACCTTAGCATATCTGGACCTTTCCATCATCAGCTGGCTTCAGCGAAAGCACAAACATCCTTATATATGTAGTATATATATATATGTGATGATGTTCTCATGCATTAATAATTCAGACAAACAAACATCGGCGTTTCCTCGCCATTAGCTGATACAAAAACTTCGCTTCAGTTTACACTGTCGAAAATAAAAGTAATATCATTTTACGTGGGCTATTTTATGAATATAGTTATTGCACAAGTTATAAAACTATTTTGTTTCTTACTTAGCCTTTACATTTTAGCAATAGTATCTAAGGTAATATCAATCAGATAATGCGTGCATATCATGAATTAAGCAAAAATACTATCGTAGATCATAAGTAGTTTATTTCGACGCAGAGCTCCATCGACCAGCCTTTCTAAAAACAGCCGGGCGACTGTAATTACTGTTCATGTCAGAATTAACAATCCGCAACTTCGGCGTTTACCCCTGCGGCCATTAAAGAGCAAGAAACCAGTCGGTTGGCGTGTCGTTTGAAGAGTGAATTGTCAGGCTTTTGCCTCGCATTCAAATATATGGGCATCAGTGTTGGCTTTAATTTTTCGTTTTATCTAAAAATTCAACGATGAGTTAGGTCCCAGTCATCAGAGGTTGATTCCCTTTAAGTTGTTGCGAGTAAATGAGTGCCTAACTAGGGCTCCTATATCAATACGAATCTCAGTCTTCTGAAAAACTATATTGGAAATCTTCATCAACCTAATTTTTATAGAGGCCCACAATCACTTGTGCGTATCCTTAGACACTCTGCTTTAAATGCGAAAACATCGACTATAAACCCAAATTTGCACTGCATCGCGTTAATTTTTGTGGCCTAGTTTATACGACTATAACAATTTGTGGAGGGTGTCATATATTTCACTCTCTATTTGTTTACGCAACGGTTGTTCGGTCGCTGAAAATATCCCCAATTCATAAATTTCCAGTAAATAGCGAATTTGCGTTCACACAACCGCGAGGTAAAGTGAGGCAGCTTTCAAATAAAACCACTAGTAGCTGCAGACCGTGTTGACCAGACTTGAGGTCGTGATGAATTGCTACTTTCTAGGAGAAATGAGCTACGATCCAAGTGACTGGCAGCCACCTATTCGCAGCCTCAGAACCCGTACTGGAGGGCTTTTGATTGCTTGAAGGGGTGGCGACTTAGCTCGACAATGGTCTGGCAGTGACGTTCCCTAATACATGTGCTGAGCCTTCAAATTAGAGACAATTGCGACCAGCCAACAAAGGAGGAATCCTCCACATTAGGGCAGGGGTAAACCAATTATTTAGCCTAGTGGTCAATGTGGGTGCGACGGTTAGCCTAATTAAGTAAATAAGTAAAGTAAGTAATAAGTAAATAAGTTTTCTGCCTAGACAGTATGGTAAATTTTAAAAGATTGTATATTTTTTTTTTTTTTTTTGTATTAATAATAACAAATTAAGTTTACAAAGAATAAATTATTTAATATTGACACTCAAATATTTGACCCACGTAGAATTTACATGTGTCGCTGGTTAATTCTAGTGATAGAGATACATAATAGAAGGTTGGTTTTTATACCCTGAACCCATTGAAAGAGAGAGGGTAAAAGAGGTATTATGTATTTGTGCACATGTATGTAACAGGCAGAAGGAAGCATCTCCGACCCCATAAAGTATATATGTATGTTCTTCAGCATCAATAGCAGAGTTGATCTAGATATGTATGTATGTATGAACGCAAGGAAGTCAGAACCTATAAGAGTTATAGACTGAAATTTTGGGTGTAGGGCCTCCTAGTGCCTGCACAGATCGAGATTGTTTCCAATATTCGATAACTTTCCCCTTTTCCAAGCAATTGATAGAAATCGATATCAAAATACTGTTTTTTGAGCAATTTTGGTAAATAATAAGAACTAGGGTCACCAAATTTATTTGTTGCTTCTATACTAGTTTATGTACATCAAGTGTCTTTAATTTGATAGCTATCACTAACTCCCCGCTTATACCTTATAGCTATAAATCAAGTAAAAAAACCAAATTATGCTGACACCAAATAAGAGACAATTTAATTGACTATTTGAGAATACACAAATATTCTATGGTACAAAAAAATATACTGAAGAAAATTTCATTATGATCGGTAAAGAAAAAACCAAATGGGGCAGCTAGCGCAAATTCATGCGCGTCTGCTTCGAAGTCTATCAACAGAGTTGCAATTGCGATTGTTTTTCTTGCTGCTATTTTAATTCGTTTTTTCCTCAATCATACACAATTATTGGTATCGCTGTTGAGTAGAGGCATAGCATGTGGCGCGGTCTGTTGCGAGTTCGAGAACTACTGGAAAACCTGTTTTTTTTTTGCTGGTGTTGCTGTTGAGTAGACTCGTCAGCAAGTAATGAGGTTAGTTGCGAGTTTGGACCCTGCCAAGAGAACTTTTTTCTTAAATTTATCTTTATTACTTCAAGCGATCGGATTTCGCGAAATGAATTTGGTGTTGGAATAAGACGGTTCAGTGTAAGTTTCTTTTTAATATTCACCCACCAGCACTGGCTTAAATAACTCTCTAGGAACTATTCTTCATCAGAATGTCGAGGTCTATCCTTTTATAGGCAGCACTTGCTTTAATTCTGACACTCGCATATTCGGCAGTTCAACCATATATAATTGGGAATTGTTTGACCTATTTGTGAGGGTGGCGCGGTATTAATTGCCGGTAAAGTCTACTGCGCCTTACTATACTGATACTCAGGTAAAATAAAATTCGCCGTTTAAAGTTATTCTAGGCGTTATTTAGATAGGGAGTAACCTAGTCTTAATATGACTCTCAAAAGTCTGTTTTGGTCGCATTTTGTATCTTTACCATCACACTATATTTATCACTTAATTATAAATCAATTCTTCTGTTGATACCTAAGCAACATCTTAATTATATTATACAAATTTGTACTAATGTGTGTGCTAATTGACTTTCATGGTGTTGAGTAATTTTTATATATATTAGATATATACATATTTTGGATATTATTCACCGCCTTATAGTTCCTTGTACCGTCTGTACAGTATCTTTTGTTGTTTTAGATAAAATTAATTTTCAATCATTTGAATTGCTAATGTCTTTAGGTAGCCAACTTCTTAATTTTTTCCTATCTATTTCTTCCAATTTCTTAGAGCTAAAATTTCTATAAAAAAAATTATATATTTACCTGTTGAATATTATTATTTATTATTCTTACTAAAATTGTTATAACAATGACTATTTTTCGGCGGCTGGAACCATGCTGTTTTTGCACTGTTCTACTTGCATCATTTACATTCAAAGTTAGATGATCTTGAATGTTTCTGCTAATCAAGAACATACATGTAATGAGTTTAGAGTTGTTGCTACAATGCTGCTCAATAGGATTATAGACAAATTTTAAAAATAGGCAAAAATAAAATATCGTTACAAGTTGGTGATGTGTCATACGGCTATAACGACATTTTCCTAAGGAGAGTCTCGTATGGCTTCCAATATATTTTACTAACAATTCCGTCAATGGCGTCTTTGCGATGTCCTCTTGTTCTAACCAAACAACATATGGATAAGACAGCATCGACTTCGTTTTTGTTTGGGTACGACTTAGAGAGCAAAAATGTTACAGAGCCATATGGTTTTTGTGATAGATAGGCAGGCAAAGTAAGGCACATCCGTTTGAAAAAATTTAATTTGTGTGTCTTTTTGCTTGTGCAGACACTTGCACATCCATACATTTAAGTGACTATTAAAAATTAATGAGAGAGCATTAAGAGAACTAAGAGACATAGTGGGGAGAAATCAAAAACAGCGATGCCGTCGTGTCTCTCTACAGCGTCTACAGAAAGTGAATGGTTACCAATTTGTCTCCTAGCTGTCAAATCTATATGTATGTTGTGTGGTTAGTAATCATATCAAGTAGTAAAGGATTCGTTTTCACGCTTGTATACAGAGTTTGTAGTCATATTCACTTAATCATTCGCGATTGTTACTTAAATCATTTTAAAATACAAAGTGAACGATTTTTAGCTTATTTGTACAATTTTTTCTTTTCAGATGTCTTTGAAGATTTATATAAGCACGTTAACAAGGAAACTAATGAGACATCACCTATGGTGTCTGAATATCATTACAACATTGTTGCAAATAATTCAGATCGATTGAACTCTGCAATAATTTATGATCGTGATTTTGGATATAATTATTTTGGATTTAAGACACTTGAGCGATCATATTTGCTTAAAATTAATGGCAAAATAGCGGAACGACCGCAGCACATGCTAATGCGTGTCGCAATTGGTATACATGGTGATGATATTGATTCTGCGATTGAAACATATAATTTACTCTCGGAACGTTTTTTTACACATGCATCACCAACGCTTTTTGCTGCTGCCACAAATCGTCCTCAATTATCATCATGTTTTCTCTTAACAATGGCATCGGATTCTATTGAAGGAATATTTAAAACAGTTGAGCAGTGCGCAATGATCTCCAAATCGGCAGGAGGCATTGGTCTTAATGTTCATTGTATTCGAGCAAAGGGCACCTCTATTTCCGGCACAAATGGTACTTCAAATGGCTTGGTACCAATGCTTAGAGTATTTAACAACGTGGCGCGCTATGTCGATCAGGGTGGTGGTAAAAGACCAGGAGCATTCGCTATTTATCTGGAGCCTTGGCACTCAGACGTGTTTGAATTTTTAGACCTTAAAAAAAATACTGGAAAAGAGGAACATCGGGCCCGGGACCTATTTTATGCCTTGTGGATTCCTGATCTCTTTATGAAGCGGGTTGAAGCCAACGAGGATTGGTCATTGATGTGCCCACACAAATGTCCCGGTCTGCAAGATGTTTGGGGTGAAGATTTTGAAAAACTGTATGTCAAATATGAAAAAGAGGGGCGACAGAATCGAATTGTTAAAGCTCAATCTCTTTGGTTTGCCATAATTGAATCTCAAGTGGAGACTGGTACCCCTTACATGCTTTTTAAAGACTCGTGTAACAGAAAAAGCAATCAACAAAATGTTGGAACTATAAAATGCAGTAATTTATGCACGGAAATTGTAGAGTATTCAGCGCCAGACGAAATAGCTGTATGTAATTTAGCATCAATAGCCCTAAACATGTTTGTGACGGCCGAAAAATCTTACGACTTCAAAAAACTGAAAGAAGTAACTAAAATTGTTACCAAAAACTTGAATAAAATAATTGATATAAACTACTATCCTTTGCCAGAGGCAAAAAAATCCAATTTACGGCACCGCCCTATTGGTATTGGTGTTCAAGGGTTTGCAGATGCATTAATTTTGATGAGGTATCCGTATGAAAGCGAAGAAGCATCTCTTTTGAATCAACAAATCTTTGAAACTATTTACTTTGGAGCTTTGGAAGCTAGTTGTGAATTGTCCCAAAAGGATGGCCCCTATGAAACCTATATTGGAAGTCCAGTAAGCAAAGGAGTTTTGCAGTATGATATGTGGAACAGATCACCAACAGATCTTTGGGACTGGGATAATCTTAAAAGGTCCATAAAACAGCACGGTGTCAGAAACTCTTTGCTTATTGCTCCCATGCCTACAGCATCCACTGCGCAAATAATGGGCAACAATGAGTCGTTCGAGCCCTACACTTCAAACATTTATACAAGACGAGTATTGTCCGGTGAGTTTCAAGTAGTAAATCCTCATTTATTGCGTGATTTAACGGAGCTTGATTTGTGGGATGATGAGATGAAAAATCAAATTATCGCAAGCCGAGGCTCTATACAAAACATCGAATCTATACCCGAAGCAATCCGGGATTTGTACAAAACCGTATGGGAGATATCGGTAAAGTCAACTATTAAAATGGCGGCTGATAGAGGAGCGTTTATTGATCAAAGTCAATCCTTTAATATTCATGTTGCTGAGCCAAACTATGGAAAATTAACATCAATCCACTTTTATTCCTGGAAAGCGGGCCTTAAAACAGGAATGTATTATCTGCGCACAAAACCAGCTGCAAATGCTATACAATTCACTGTAGACAAAAATGTGTCCGTAATGGAAATAAATGGACAGAATTTAGTTGACCAACATGCTTCGATGGAAATGGGCAACACAAGCGAGTCGGATATAGAACGAGAGCGTAAAATGGCACAAATGATTTGTTCCCTTGAAAACAAGGATGCATGTTTATCGTGTGGATCCTAATAATGTTTCGACTACCTATTGCTCACATCTTTCGCTTACATCTTTAAGTAATAAGAATTTTCTTATAATAAATAATACTTATTTTAATTTTCAGTCTTTAAACTCTTAAATTCTTGTTTTATTTGCTATTGATTGATTGATTTTTAAGCAACTTTCGACTATTTAACAAATTTGAACAAGTTTGAGCTATATGCCTTTCGTAGTCATTTTCAATGCTTTTAGATTTATGATTTTATGATTTCTGCCCTTATACATAGTTGAACAGACTGTCATAAATTGAGATTGACAAGTGTGGTATGAATATGGCATATTGACGCAGAATATAGTACACACTCCGGGTGCCGTTGAGCATAGCTGCTGGGGATGACAGCCCACGATGACGCACGCTACTCATACTGACACATTTAATAGTTGGGGGCCAAGAGTTTCCTTCTACGGACATTCATTTTGCTGTTACCTAAAAAGATGTATTCAGTCTTAATAAGGGGATGCAATGCTAAACTTTTGGTAACAAATTTAAAATATATTATTATCTTTTTCTGGTGGATTCTGACCGCCGACGGTTTAACCATTTGCTGGGGATTTTACAGCGCAATGCATTTTTTGCCTTGTTATCACAATCGTTCTGAAGACGCATTATTACCCCTAGGCTTTGGTATAATTTGCCTTCGACACGCGTCGGTACGAAGCACCTTTGCTTCGTTGCCATTTCGCCCACAACTTTCACACTACGGTTAAAAGCAGCACTTTGTTATTTTAAATGGCATATTCTGCTAGGTCGCGTTTTCAAACCCTCAATCGAGGTCCGCCATACTTTTTGCAGCATAGTCTTCAGGGCGAACATAGACACATTTGCCGAGGCCCAATTTGAAGAAGAACACGAGCTCATTCGGCAGTATCCGTCTCGCTCCATATCCTTTTAAATATGATGATGTTGATAGGGGCGTTGATGCTTTTCAACTGCATAGTAATAGGTGCACCCTGTTTCTACTTTCGGCCGTTGTAGATAAAATTATGATTGCACTAATAGTGTCTTACTGCTTCTGTAATTGTAAACGTTCTTTGGAATTGCAAATCGGGACATTCAGGTTTTAGAGCTTTTTATGAACTTACTTGGCTGGCGTGCATTGTCGTTGTGATATTACCATAATTTTTGAGCTGCGTTTGGCCCATTTTGCTATAAATCACCACAAAATAGTACTTAGAATTTTACTCTCAAAATTATTACTTTGGTTGACAGTGATGATTTAATATAGGTCGGGTGCTCACAAGCCGTGGCTTACTTATGGCTCGTTTAGTTAATTTTTGTACACAGCGCGCATCGACATGACATAAAGTAGCGCAATATATATTTATTTTTATTGAATTTGAATTTAAAACGTAAAAGAAGACACCAATCCGATTATATATTAATGCCAGTTATCATCATCACAAAGCAAAGAAGAATCCCAACTGATAACCCTGTTTATTATTATCTTCTTAATTATCCGTTATCCAACATTTAAAAGATACGGGTATTTAAATACGTTTCTAGTTGGATAAGTAAATTTTTCTTGTGATTAAGTCATACATAAATATTATACTAAGATTATATCGATGATTAGTTGAAGAGTGCGGACAACAGGATCCTAGCAAATAAAAAATAAATAATTTTAAAACAGATAGAATTCGGTCTTCGTGGATTGAATATTGTTTGAGGGAATCGTAACATCTCAACACTAACACGGGCTCGTGAAGCGTAGAAATGACTTCACTAATGGTTTAAAGAAAATAATGAAAAGTGGCAATACTGTTTTTAGTAAGGCTTTCGACTTTCCCTTAATGACTCTTACTGCTTTAGAAATTTTCAGGTGTCATTATTGATTTTAAACTTAAAACGAATCTCTTCGTTCCTCTGCGTCAATCGTTTATGTAGGGGCAGCGCTTGCAATACGAACTTGTCGAAGTCTGGACATGCAAGGAGCGGGGCTGAGTTCCGGCGCTTGAGTTGTACCAACACTGCTTGCTGTTCTGTAACCCACGACCACACCTTCCCTTTCTTTCGATGCAAAATTTGGCACGATACCACGGCGCCATTCCCAAAAACTGATGCAGTTCCATTTATTTCCACGGCGCACTAAATCTGAGGTTTGCTCGCCCCTTTGCGTGGTCCTTGAGATTCTCCCAAATTAGTCTCACTTAAGTGCTCTATCGTTCAGATAGGCAAATTCGTAAGGTTGTATTTCTGTCCCCATTATGAACTTTAATTCCCTTTGGAATTTAAACTTGTGGAACTTAAACGTAAGCTTTCCATGGGTAAAGCTCCGGGCTCGAACCGTAAATGCTGATATTGCTTGTTACTCTTCTCTATCGCGACTTGCCAGAGACAATGCTTCAATTCCAGTATCCAAATATAACGCGCTGGTTGTAGGCGCTCCAATGTGTGGTTTATCCGAGGTGCGAAGTATGCCATCGGTACCGAACGAGCGTTGAGCTTCCTGTAGTTAATGCACATCTGCGATTTCCTCGCCTTCATCATTAGCACGATCAGCGCACTTTGCGGTCTTCGGGATGCCTCAATGCATCCCGTCCGGAGCAGTTCATTATAGGCTCGTTTATTACGATCCAATGTTTTCAGATTCTGGCCGATCATCATATTGGCCGCCCCTGCTCGTTGCATCGGCACCGATCGGGACCGCTCCGGTCATTACGTTCGTTTATGGGATCTGCCCAAAGCGCGGATACGCGCTTATACCGCACCCTACTCGAGGTCGCGAGACCAGAGGATACTTCTGACCCTGCTGTTTTATTTCTTCGCATTGGAAAGCAAACTGTATGAAGTTGGGTAAAGACAAGAGGTCTGGCCACCGAACATTTAAACAATATGTTGGGTCCGCGCTTTTGTCCTTCCTGCTCAATTCCTTCGCTGATCCCTTTGGTAATTCGATTTCGTATGATATTGCCAGCAACTAGATGGCCACTAAGAAGGAGAATATGAGGATATGCATGTCATGCCTCCTTGCTTCCGTTGGTCGGCGGGTGGACCCCGTTGGGGTTCCTTCGACGGGGCGAGAAGTTCCCGACTTATTACTTTTACCGTCCGTGTTGCGGACCTTGAATCTGTAGGTATTTGGTATCTCGAGCAGGCAATATAAACTTAAACCAGAATCCGAATCGGATTTGGAAGGTCTGTCCCATCCGGTTAGTTCGACCTGGGCTTTAGGCTCCGGGGCCGCGGGTATTTGGTTTCTAGCTTGGTCCATATTCCTAGCTTAGTCCATATTTCATTGGTATGCGAACAGCCGAAAATGAAGTTTGCCAATCGTCGTCGCAAATCTTCGACCCTCCTTTGCTCACGCAGCCCGAACCCACGGTTGAACGTTTTTAACTTTTCCTTGGAACGTTGGTGAATCCATCGCACACCCACTCTGGAATTTGTACAGCCATTTTTTTTATCACTGTCATTGAACTCCGGCTTTCGTCTTCCTTCTGCTCATGCTTTCCTCTCTTATTCCCCTTCCTTGTCATTGTTATTGTATTATGTTATTCCTTTTCCCTTTTTTGTTAAGCTTAATTTTAACTATCGTGTTATATTATTCAATTATTTACCTGAATCCATTAAAAATGGTTATAAAGGGTATATTATATATATATTTGTACAAAATGTAAATGTATATGACAGGCGGAAAAATATATATTCCTGATCACCATCAATAGCCGAGTCGATCTAGGCATGTCCGTCTGTCCGTATGTATGACCGCAAGGACCTATAAGAGCTAGAGTCTTGACTAGCTGTAGGTCCTTCTAGTACCTGCGCAGATCGAGTTTGTTTCCAATAATCGATAACTTACTCCGATTCCAGGCAATCGATAAAAATCGATATCGACATCCTGTCTTTTGAGCGAATTGGGTAAACAATAAGAGCTAGAGCCACCAAACACAATATGTTGCTTCTAGAATGTTATAGATATTTCAAGTATCTTTCATTTCATACCTATCGTCACCTCCCAGCTGCCACCCCAGAGCTATAAATTAAGTTAATAATCCAACTTGTATTGCCAACCAATTTAAACCACAATTTAAATGCAATTGACTTTTGAGAATACACAAATATTGTATGGTACAATAAGATATACTGTAGAAAATTTCATTAAGATCGGTTTTTGATTTCTTTTTCAGTATTTTGACTGCGCCCGTGTTTGCGACGCGAATTCCAAGAATTTCTGTATTTATGTACACACATACATTAATGCGCGTCTGCTTTGAATTCTATAAACAACATTGTAATTGCGGTTGTATTGTTTTCTATGCTGATATTTAAATTCGTTTATTTCTAACTGAGACTTAACTATTGGAGTGTCTGTTGAGTCGAGGCTGTGGCATGTGGTATGGTCGCTCGCGAGTTCAAGCCCTACCGGAGAAACGGTTTTTTTTTTGGCTGGTGTTGCTGTTGAGTGAAGACGGCGGCAAGTAGTGCTGTTAGTTGAAAGTTTGAAATCTGCCAAGGAAACATTTTTTTTAAATGTATCTTTATTACTTCAAACGAGCACGTAGCGCGAGCTACATTTGGTGTTGGAATAAGAGGGTTCAGCGTATCCCCTAGTCGGGAGCTCTAGACAGAATCTCTAAGTTGTTTATTTTTATTTTTCTCCGGTTCAGTATTTAAAGTCGTTTGTCCAATTTTTTTTTGTTAAATTGTTCCACCAAGCATAAAAAATATAGAATTATGAATTTTGGAAGTCCTTCTGTTTTAATTTATTGATTTTGGTTTCTTAGCTTTTTCTCAATTATTTTCTGATTTAGTCTTTGCTTTGTTTCGATACATACAAATTTCTTACATTACTTGAGTTTCGTTTGATGGGTAACATATATTGTTTTATTATAAATAAGTAAGAGGTTCCCTGAACCCTCTTCTTCCAACATCAAATGCATATATATATTCTATTTTAGAAGCTATATGTCAAGTTTGGTGACTCTAGCTTTATTATTTACCAAAATTTTCCAAAAAACAGAATTTCGATATCGATTTTTATCGATTGCTTGGAAACGGAGTAAGTTATCGATTATCGGAAACAACCGCGTAGGTTGCGTAGGCACTA